TCCTATGGGCAGAGCGTAGGATAGTATTGGCCTTTCCCGGCGCTGCATCACACCCTTGGCTCATGCTCAGGTGGTGCTGCGCAAAGACTCCCCATATTGCAAAGCCAAAAAGGCTTCCTAAGAAGGGACCCTTAAACGCCATCTATCCTGACCTCTTGAACGGCAACTTCCTTCCATTCCTATGGGCAGAGCGTAGGATAGTATTGGCCTTTCCCGGCGCTGCATCACACCCTTGGCTCATGCTCAGGTGGTGCTGCGCAAAGACTCCCCATATTGCAAAGCCAAAAAGGCTTCCTAAGAAGGGACCCTTAAACGCCATCTATCCTGACCTCTTGAACGGCAACTTCCTTCCATTCCTATGGGCAGAGCGTAGGATAGTATTGGCCTTTCCCGGCGCTGCATCACACCTTTTGCTCATGCTCAGGTGGTGCTGCGCAAAGACTCCCCATATTGCAAAGCCAAGAAGGCTTCCTAAGAAGGGACCCATATTGATCCCCCATCCGGACTCTACCAGGCTTCCCTGCATTGTATACAATGGGCAGAACCCGAGATGGCATTGGCCTTTTCCACCCACAATAAAGCAACTCCATCCTACTTACTGACCCACAGCAAAGTTGTGGACGTTGCTGTGGGATAAATGCAAAAGAGAGGTGCGTTGAGCCTTACCTGCACCCCAAAAAGGTCCCTTTTCTGAGGAAAGGTGGGAAGATGTTGCTTCCAAGCTTGCGGTCGCTTTTGCTCTCTCTCTCTGCCGCTCTGGCCAGAGGAGGAGGACAAAGGAGCGACCTCTGACCCCCGGCCGGCTGGCCTCCCCCACCCCTCTTGAGCCAAGGGTCAGACCCACATCGCCCTTTCCTTGCAGATGCACAGGCTCTGCCAAGTTCCTTTGCATGAGAAAGGAAGGGCTGCAAAGGCAGAGAAGGGCTTGGGCAGGGCCTTCAAGAGGGTGGGACAGATGGCCTTTGGGGGTCCCTTCGAGGAGGAGGCCCTTTGCGGCTCAATTTGGAGACCAAACAGAAATAATAATAATAATAATAATAATAATAATAATAATAATAGCAATAATAATTGTAATATTATTACATATATATCCCGGATACAACTAACAACAACAACACTCTCTATTTCATCATCATCATCATCATCATCACAACAACAACAACAACAGTAATAGTAATAATAATACTTCCATCTATCCTAGATCCATCTAATAACAACAACAACTCTATCTGAGCTGTATAACAATAACAGTAATAATAAAAACAATAATAATAATAATACTTATCTATCCTGGATCCATCTAACAACAACATCACTCTCTATTTCATAATAATAATAACAATAACAACAACAACAACAATAACAGTAATAGTAATAATAATACTTCCATCTATCCTAGATCCATCTAATAACAACAACAACAATAACAACTCTATGTGAGCTGTATAACAATAACAGTAATAATAAAACAATAATAATAATAATAATAATAATAATAATAATAATAATAATCTATCCTTATCTATCCAGGATAGAGTTGTTGTTGTTGTTGTTGTTATTAACAACAACAACAACAATAACAGTAATAGTAATAATAATACTTCCATCTATCCTAGATCCATCTAATAACAACAACAACAATAACAACTCTATGTGAGCTGTATAACAATAACAGTAATAATAAAACAATAATAATAATAATAATAATAATAATAATAATAATAATAATCTATCCTTATCTATCCAGGATAGAGTTGTTGTTGTTGTTGTTGTTATTAACAACAACAACAACAATAACAGTAATAGTAATAATAATACTTCCATCTATCCTAGATCCATCTAATAACAACAACAACAACTCTATGTGAGCTGTATAACAATAACAGTAATAATAAAAACAACAACAATAATAATACTTATCTATCCTTATCTATCCAGGATAGAGTTGTTGTTGTTGTTATTAGATGGATCTAGGATAAATTCAAGTATTATTATTACTATGATTGTTACTGTTATTTTTGTTGTTGTTGTTGTTATTATGAAATAGAGAGTGTTGTTGTTGTTAGATAAGTATTATTATTATTATAATACTTATCTATCCTAGATCCATCTAACAACAACAACTCTGCCTGGGCTGGATCACTCTCTATTTCATAATAATAATAATAACAATAACAGCAACAATAATAGTAATAATAATACTTCCATCTATCCTAGATCCATCTAATAACAACTCTGCCTGGGCTGGATCACTCTCTATTTCATAATAATAACAATAACAATAACAATAATAGTACTAATAATAATACTTCTATCTATCCTAGATCCATCTAACAACAACAACAACAACTCTGTCTGGGCTGGATCACTCTCTATTTCATAATAATAATAATAATAATAATAATAATAACAACAACAACAATAATAGTAATAATAATAATACTTCTATCTATCCTAGATCCATCTAACAACAACAAATCTGTCTGGGCTGGATCACTCT